CATGGGAGTCATCTAGCATTTAGACAGTAAGAACAATTAATCAATGAAACAACTTGACTCCGGAAGTTGTGAATGCTCCAACCCTGGACGTTTTTAAGAAGAGATTGGATAACCATTTGTCTGAAATGGTGTCAGGCTTGCTGCCTAAGCAGGGGCTTGGACTAGAACAGGGGTCTCCAACCTTGACAGCTTTAAGCCTGGTGGACTTCAATTCCCAGAATTCCCCAGCCAGAAAATTCTGGGAGTTGGGAAATTCTGGGAGTTGAAGTCCTCCAGGCTTAAAGTTGCCAAGGTTGGAGACCCCTGGACTAGAAGACCTGTAAGGTCCCTTCCAATTCTGCTATTCTATTCTATTCTATTCTATTCTATTCTATTCTATTCTATTCTATTCTATTCTATTCTATTCTATTCTATCCTATCCTATCCTATCCTATCCTATCCTATCCTATCCTATCCCCTATCCCTATCCCTATCCTGTCCTATTTTTATTTTTATTTGTCAAACATGTGCAGGATAACAAGTGCAGATATGAACATAAACATGAACAAATACAGCTAAATGGGAACAGTAGGACAGGAATGACCTCTTAAGAATGTGGTGAGGTCCACAGTAGACAGTTTGAGATTGAAGCTGTGAGGATTTGAGGCTGTAACCACGGAGTCAGGTACAGCATTCCAGGTGTTGACCACTCTGTTGCTGAAATTGTATTTTCTTCAACCGAGTTTGAAGCAGTTTACCTTGAATTTGTATCGATTGTTTGCCCGTGTATTACTGTAGTTGAAGCTGAAGAAATCATTGACGGGCAAGATGTTGTAGCAGACAATTTTGTGTACCATGCTTAGATCGGACCTATTCCTATTTTATTCATTACCCAAAGACATTTCTCAAAAAATGCCAGTTTTACGGCATGTACCTTAAATGAAAATGACACTATATCAAAAAACATACATTTGTGACTATGCCAGTTTTATCTTCTCTGAGTTACATGCCGCTTCACAGTGCTTTACAGCCCTCTCTAAGCGGTTTACAGAGTCAGCATATTGCCCCCTAACAATCTGCGTCCTCATTTTACCCACCTCGGAAGGATGGAAAGCTGAGTCAACCTTGAGCCTGGTGAGATTCGATCTGTCAAATTGCAGTCAGCTGGCAGCCAGCAGAAGTAGCCTGCAATACTGCACTCTGACCACTGCACCATTGTTTACATACAACAATAGTGATAAATCATTATCATGCAGTTGAGAGCCAGATGTTAATTATCAATGGGTGGCTTCTTCCTTTTTCTGCCTGCTTGAAAGCTTGTAGAAGTACGTTTTGTAGCCAGTGTAGGACTAACCAGGCCTTAGTCTACTCCAATCAAGTAATTCTTTTATTTCATTTTTGTTGCCATCAAAGAAATGCTATGTTAATGGTAAATGTCTATATGGAGATTCTCCTCTATTATACATTCACGCTAATAACGTTCTTCCTGCCTTTGTTTGTTCTGCTTTTCCCTTTACAGCCTGAGGCCCCACTGCATTGTGTTACCTGCAGCTGTGAATTTCAGTCGCGGAACAAATTGTTTGAACATCTGAAGACCACGGGGCACGCCAAAGCGTTAGCCCCCTCCACTGCCAACACAGCCGTCAGCAGCAGAAGCAAGAAAGAAAAGCGGAGAAACAGATAGGGCTTCTGGAAAGCCTTGAGAACTGGGGGGTTATTGTCACATCCACAGGTACCTTGTTGGCCCAGAAAGAGACAGGCCTTTCCCACGTGACTTAACTGGGATGGAGACTTGCTACGCCCAGCCATAAACAGAGCAGAAACACATTTAAACCTGTGCAGCTTTGGGTACAGTATCTGTTTGTGTCTGTATTTTGTTTCATAAATTGGGCTAAAAGCCTCCAGATTGTCCATAAAGAGAGCCTGCCTGCTCCTTAGATTTGTAAAAACCTACCTGTACAGGTAAAGGAAATAAATTATTTTACTGTACATTTCTGTTTGTTTTCAAAAATTGCACTATGCACTTCATCTAGGCATGTTTTCTTTACATTAAATGCACCTTTTTTGCTACCAACCTGCCTACATTCATTTTTAGCCCAAGCCTGGGTTGGCTGTCTCAAGGTAGTGGCTGTCAGCCAGAAGATTATAAGTGTCGTCCCTCCCTCTTTGAAAGAGGGCTTGCTCCAACCATGATAGAAACAAACATTTCTAGACAAAACCATAACTTTAAAGCAGAGGTGTCAAACTTGATCTCAGCCGGTCATTGAAAACTTTGCACACAAACCACCATGCAGAGCGGAAAGCCGGTTTCAAAGGTTTTTAATGTCAAACAACAAATTTTCCATCCGACAAGAACGGTATCCCGACAGGTCTAGGTTAGTACTGGAAGCTTCTGCCTTACAGTGCTGTTTAAAGGTATGAACTAACCCACGTAAACGCTTCTATCTCCTATCCATGCCCCTAATTATTCCTTTAATCAGCCTTTATTCCCATCATCTGGTTTATCTAATAAGTCCACTATTTCCTTCCCTATCGCTTATCCATCGGTCATGCTTCTTATCTCATTGCCTGTTTCTTCAGCACAGTTGATTCAACAGCTGCACCAGCTATTGTTCTCTGTCTCTCAATTTGGCTTTGGCAGAATCATCTAATTAACGTCCAACAATCCATCAAACACATAGTTTCCCTTCAAGTTATGGACCACTGAGGATCCCCGTGCACGTCATAATTTTCCAACGCTGCAGCTGTCGCAATTACCAGGAAACTTCTATCATTGGCAGGGTGCCACGGCTCCGGCAAATGTGCTGACGGGCTCAAATCATCTATCATCCCTAATGGAGCCCAACACTGGATTTATTGAGGGCTGCATCAGAGTTGTGTTTCACCTGGGGGGGGTCGAGGTGGGTGTGGCCAGCTCGACCACTTGTGTCGGGGGGCGCCTGTGGTAGCCCGAGTACTCTGCCAGCAAAAACAGGCTCCCGAGCTCCGTTTTTGGTTGCGATGGCCTCCTGCAATTCTGCCAGTAAAAATTGAGCTCTGGAGGGCAGCTGTCCAGAGCTCTGTTTTCACTGGCAGAGGCTCCGCGGGCCGGTCCATCACTGTTTCCAGGGCAGCACTGTGGACCAGATCTAAGTACCCTGTGGGCCGGATTTGGTCCACGGGCCTCAAGTTTGACACCCGTGCTTCAAAGGTATTCTGTTATTGTAGGTTTAAACTTCCAATATCTTCCCTATGCTGTGTATGAAATTTAAAAATCCCACCTGTGGTATACATTCAATCACTGACCCAAAGGTGCTTTTTCAGGAGGCAACTGGACTTTCTGTTTTTTTCTTTGAAGACATTTCACTTCTCATCCAAGAAGCTTCTTCAGCTCTGACTGATTGGTGGGGAATGGAAGGATTTATATACTCCCTGCAGACAGCTGGTCATTTGCCACCTTTTAGCTGGTCGTTAAGGCCACCTGGAGGTTTAGCTGTGTCATCAGGATCACTTGAGTGGTGCAAATTCCCCACCATCCAGTCAGAGACCTGGAATCTTCTTGGATGACAAGCGAAATGTCTTCAAAGAAAACAAAACAAAACAGAAAGTCCAGTTGCCTCTTGAAAAAAGCACCTTTGGGACAAATATGACCTGGATGACTCAGAATCTCATTCAACCATTAATTGAAAACCACTGCTGTAAAATATATTTGGGAAATTGTAGCTCTCTTGTTCTTGCTGTATTCTGTTCTTCAACAAAAAAGACTTGTGTAAATTATCTACTTGGGGAAATACAGGAACTTCACCTGACTTTTATGTCCACAGACATCTCAAACCTGGACAGCAAAATTTGCAAGTGTCAATTGATCCAAGAACTAAAAATTAATATCCCTTTCTCTTAATATTATGCTAAATCTATTTGTTAAAGCACTTATCAGCATGAACCTTCACTCAGTTCTACCTGGTGTGGATTCCCCTCAGAAATTTGTAGTAGGGTTTCTGAATGTTCAACATAACACAGTGTTTCATGTTCTATTTTTGCTTTATGAAATTGCATTCTGTCAAAACATGAAAGGATTTGGATATGTGCTTTCCCACCCGTAATTCAAAGCGAAATGACAACAGAATTAGTGTGTGCCCTTACAGCAGAGGATTGGAAAGAACTTATATTCTGCTGCTCAGCTGTGTTTCAAACCTATTTCTGGCAATTTTCCCCAGCAGAGGCTTATCCCCAGCACTCAAATTTTAAAATCCCGTTGTGGAGAGAGGAAGAAAAGATGACTCCCATGTACTCGGCTGGGCTTTTTCTAAATAAGCTACAAGCACTATGTCCAGCTGCTGCACAAGTTATAAAACAGCCAAATGGTGTTGCAGGCTGAGAAGCCTGCTTCTTTCTGCACGTAATCTTATCCGGATTAATCTCAAAAAAAAATTGGACTATTATGAATCTGTAGGAAGTGAGCACCCACCCCTCTCCTAGAAAATGAAATATACTCGGAAATATTAAAAAGGCAGAATATTTCCCCTAAAAAGAGTAGAAACTCAGAAGCAGAAACTCACCTTTGCTAATGGGTGGACCATTAAGGCCTGGGCCAGAGTATTTTACATAACAAAGATCTCCAGATAGAGCTATAGGAATTGCCCAAAGCCCTTTTCATTACATCATCCAGCAAGCTCAACCAAGCCTGGAACTCAGGTGAAGCTATGTGGTCCAGACAAAGCCTACAAAGTTAGCTAAGACCCCCGCCCCTGGGAATCTGACAGCCAATGGGATACATTTCTTGCACAGGAATAGGAAACACTACGGTGGGGCCCAACAGAGGGTATATAAGGGTCTCTCAGCATCTTGGTCCTTCCTTCTCTTTTCCTTCACCTTGAAGCATGTGATCATCCCTTCCTTCTTTGGAGCTCCAGGCCATGTGGTCCTGTCCACCATTAAACCATCTTTCTAAACAGCCTCCATGTTTCCAGTGTCTTTTTCCCCACTTGGAACTGAACCCAGAAGGATAATCCTTCCAACAAATCAATGCTTCAGGCAAGGAGTGTTGGTTCATGGATTTATTTACAGTGAGTCCAGTGCATCTCAGGAATGTGTGTGTGTGTGTGTGTGTGTGTCTACATTTCGGCTGTTCTTTTCATATGTCTTATTAAGGCTTCGTGGAAGACGGCCACTGCAAAATCTGCATCGTCTTTAGTAATGCACATTGGAGGTTTAACTCTAAACGTCTTGGGGAAGAGAAAAAAAAAAGAGGGAAAATGTTATACAGAGAAAAAACTTATTTATCAGTAGAGATGTTTTGGTCATAGATATAATCACAGAGCAGCTTACTGTACAGTCGCCGCTTAAGGGGCAAAGGATGGGGATGGACCAAGCTAAAACAATTCCAGCCTACCACAAGCTAAATTTATTGGTCCATCTGTATGGTCCTGCTCTACAATTTATTTTGCAAGCTGTACAATTTAAAAAAAAAGATAGCTACAACCAGCCCCTTCCCTTCTCATGCAATCATTTTATAGTGCTGGGCAACCAGCCCATATTTACAGTGTCATGTGGTTGCAAGGCTGATTCACAATATTTTTTTGCCAGAAATTAATATTTCTGGTTTTCTGCAAAAAAAAAAAAGCGCCCATTGTGACAATGACCAGCATGACATATGACAGTACTTCTGGGCTCAGTTATGATTCTAAGTTGAGAATACTGCCTGTATTTCTCTCCCCATGTTACCATGCACAGGCTAATATACCTAAAACAAGCAGGTTTGGAAACAAATATCAGGTGCAGTTTCATGCACACACAGTATATGTTCCTTTTTTGACAGTAATGCATTGTTTCTATCAGGGCTGGCTAAACTTTTTCCTCTCTGGGCGAAACCTTTTTTTTTTTTTTTTTTTTTGAGGTCTGGATGAGTAATTTAACAGATAATCAGAATTGGAAGGGACCTTGTAGGTCATCTAGTCCAACCCCCTGCCCAAGTAGGAGATGGGAGTCCAATCTCTTCTTGAAGGTCTCTCACTTGAGACCTTCCTTCCCACAACTCCCACAACTTCCAAGGGCAAACTGTTCCATGGATTGATTGTTCTCACTTTCAGAAAGTTTCTCCATATTTCCAGGTTCAATCTCTCCTTGTTCAGTTTCCATCTATTATTCCTTGTACTTTAGAAAATAGCTTGGCCCCTTCCTCTTTGTGGCAGCCCCTCAAATATTGGAAGACCGCTATCATGTCTCCCCGGTCCTTCTTTTTACTAGACTAGTCAAGCCCAGTTCCTGTAACCATTCTTCATATGTTTTAGTCTCCAATCATCCTGGTTGCTCTTCTCTGTACTTTTTCTACAGTCTCAACATCTTTTTCATAATGTGATGACCAAAACTGGATGCAGTACTCCAGGTGTGGTCTTACTAAGGCTTTATAAAGTGGTATTAGTACTTTCCTTGATCTTGACTGTATCCTTCTGTTAATGCAATTTAGGGTTGCATTGGCTTTATTGGCTGCTACTGCACACTGCTGGCTCTATTCAGCTGACTGTCCACTAAGACTCCACGATCCCTCTCACAGTTATTGCTACTGAGACTGGTTTCACCCAGTCTATATGTGTACTTTTGGTTTTTCTTACCTAAGTGTAGGACTTTACTTTTCTCTGCACTGAATTTCATTTTGTTTGATACGGCCCAGTGTTCTAGTCTGCCAAGATCCATCTGGATCTTGAGCCTCTCTTCTTGGGGGTCAGCTATTCCTGCCAGCTTAGTATCATCTGCAAATGTGGTAAGTTCCCTTTCTATTCCCTCATTTATGTCATTAAGATGAGGATGGTGAAAAGCAATTTTAACCTCACCTCGGCTCCAATGACCTCACCATGAGAATGACGATGTCACCGGAGCTGGGGTGAGATTGAAATCGCTCTCTACCATCCTAAATGTTACTTGGTGTCGACCTGGCAAAGTTCAGCCTTTTGAAATACCTACAGAGGAATACTTGTCACCTTACAAGGTAGTCCTTGACTTACAACAATCAAGCCCAAAATTTTCACGGCTAAGCAAGGCAGTTGTTAAGTGAATTCTGTACCCCATTTTACAAACTTTCTTGCCACTGTTGTTAAGGGAATCACTGCATGTGTTAATTGTTCAGTGAATCTAGCTTCTCCATTGACTTTGCTTGTCAAAAGATAATTGTGTGACCCCCCAGAACACTGCAACCGTCATAAATGCATGCCAATTTTCAAGAGTCCAAATTTTGATCACATGATCATGGGGACTGACAACTCGTAAAATATTTCTATGGTCTTTGTAGAGTTGCCAACAGAAAGGGAGGGAGGAGCAGTGGGCAGCTCGCATTCCATAGATGTTTTCAAAGATAGTATCTAGGTGACCGAAGTTTCTGTCACACAAAATTCTAACTGGAGAGCATGATTGATGACTCTTGGCTATGAATATGTCCCATTGGTGAATATGAATTACGATACACCCAAGAGGTGGGGGGGAAAACCAGGGTCAAGGGTTACAATGAATTATGTGTCTCAGAGTCGGCTACACCCAGGCAGTGCTGGCATGTTTACTCCTAATAAATCTTCTTTAAACTTTGGAAGTCTGGCTTGAGACTCATGATTTAAATAGGGGTAACTGACGGAGTCCTGGCAGGGATGCTGTAATGGTCGTACGTGTGAAAAACTGCCATAAGTCACTTTTTTCAGTGCCATTATAACCTTGAAAATTCACTAAACGAATGGTTGTAAGTCAAGGACTGCATTTTTATTATATGCATATCATTAGTTTTTTTTCAGCATGAGGCATCCTTCTGTTTACTAAAGAACTGGCTATGGTCACAGGCTTAATAGGCTTCTCAACATTTACAATACCTGGAGATGCGTTCCTCCTTTGCCAATCAGCAACCCCATATCCTTACAGTCTTCCCAAATCTGGTCCATCTCTTCAGCTGGAAGTGGCTCACAAGTTTCCTAGGAAGAAAATTTAGACTTCAGTTTAACCACCTTATTTTTTTTAAAAAAAGGAAAGCATGAAAGAAAATACATATCCATTAATCACAAAAAGTACATTTTTATGTTGTGAGTCTATGCATATGCAGACATTCAAAAGATTTATTTTATTTTATTTGGTTTGTCAATTGCTTACAAGATAATAGGTATAAGTAAAAACATAGTTATGAATATATGGATACATATAAGAAAAATAAAAGAAACAATAGGATAGGGACTGTAGGCACGTTGGTGCACTTATGCACATCCCCTAACAGACCTCTTAGGAAAGGGGTGAGGTCAATAGTAGACAGTCTAAGGTTAAAGTTTTTGAGGTTTGGGGAAGAAACCACAGAGTCAGGTAGAGGATTCCAGACATTGACCACTCTGTTGCTGAAGTTTCTGCAATCAAATTTGGTGCGATTAACTTTGAGTTTGTATCTATTGTTTGCTCTAGTGTTGTTATGGTTGAAGCTGAAGTATTCATGGACAGGTAGGACATTGCAGTGTATGATTTTATATACTATACTTAGATCAGACTGAAGGCAGCATAGTTCTAGGTTTTCTAGGTCTAGAATTTCGAGTCTGGTGGCATAAGGTATTCTGCAAGGAGCAGAGGAGTGGAGAACTCTTCTCGTGAAATATTTCTGGACTTTCTCAACTGTGTTAATATCAGATATGTAATGTGGGTTCCAGACTGTTGAGCTGTATTGGAGTATTGGTCTAACAATATCTTGATTTAATCAATTAATCAAACAAGATGTAATGTTGGCTACATTAACATGCAATTTCACAGGTTTTAGAATTGCATGTTGACATACCCAGCATTACATTTTGTATTTTATTGATATATTGATGGAATGCATACTCTGCAATTAAGAATTCAAACTAGCTTTTGAATGTCTGCGCGTGCACAAAGACACAAAATTTAATTTTTCAGTAATTGCCATAGTGAGTAGTGTTTGCAAGAAGATTCCATAGGAAGTCCTTAAAAGTAAAGGTTCCTCTTGCACATACGTGCTAATCGTTTCTGGCTCTAGGGGGCGGTGCTCATCTGCATTACAAAGCCATAGAGCCAGTGCTGTCCAAAGAGGTCTCAGAGGTCATGTGGCCGACATGACTAAACACCGAAGGCACACAGAACACTGCAACATTCCCACCAAAGTGGTCCCTATTTTTCTACTTGCATTTTTTACGTGCTTTAGAACTGCTAGGTTGGCAGAAGCTGGGACAAGTAACGGGAGCTCACTCTATTATGCAGCGCTAGGGATTTGAACCGCTGAACTGCCGACCTTTCTGATCGACAAGCTCAGCTTTCTTAGCCAATGAGCCACCGCATCCTTCACCGTGTCAAGGAAGTCCTTGACACATGACGAATGGAAGTTGCCTGTTATGACCATATGTCATAACGGTTGTAAAACAGGTTGATTGATTTTACTACCTTTTTTGGTAGTGGTCATAAAGTGGCCACCCGTGGTCATGAAGTGAACTAATGAAAGTGCCAGTTTTCAGCAAAACCAGAGTAAAACATAGTCATGTGACTGCAGGACACTGCAAAGGGCCATACATTCAGCCATGTTGCTGAGCACCCAGTGTTAGGTCATGTCACTCTGTGGAGGGGGTCCAACCATTGGAAGTTTGAACCCAGGTTGTAGGTCAGTCATAACTTTGAATGGTTGCTAGGCGACTGGTCATAAGTCAAGGAATATCCGTAATTTCAGTAATGCCAGAATGAAGATGGATCTACAAACAAGCTTCAATGTGTAATTATGTGCTCATCTTTTTTTTTTTGCACCGTGGTTTTAGAATTACACAGCTAATATTCCATTCTGAAACACATATATATTTTGCTGATTCTGCAGTAGGAATTGATATCATTGGATGTTTAGTCACTTTAGCATTATATATAATTTTATATAATAGTATACCAATTACATAGATCTATAGCACTGCACTCCTCATGGATTTAATAATCCTAATTATATGTATAATCTTAATGGTGCTAATATTATATATTGCGCCAGCGCCTTATGATGGAGTTATTTTTATAGTATGTAAATTAGACTTGCAAAACAGGATGGTTTTAATGTTAGTGTTGAATTTAAATTTTGTTGATCAATGACCAAAATAAATGGTGAAAATGATTTTTCTCTGCTCAGGCCTGGTGAGACCACACCTGGAGTACTATGTACTAGAGGTGGTATTCAGCAGGTTCTGACCAGTTCTGGAGAACTGATTGCGGAAATTTTGAGTAGTTCGGAGAACTGGCAAGTATCACTTCTGACTGGCACCGCTCCCATCTATTCTCTGCCTCCTGAGTCCCAGCTGATTGGCTGGGTCTTTTTTGTTGCCCTGCACAGGAGAACGGAGCTGGAAAGCAGGTCAGTGGGGTGGGGAGGGATTGGGGATTTTAGAGTATCTTTCCCCTGCCAGGCCCACCAAGCCACACCCACCAAACTAAACCACGCCCACCAAGCCACACCCACAGAACCGGTAGTTAAAAATTTGAATCCCACCACTGCTGTGTACCATTCTGAGCATTAGAGTTCCAGAAGTCTATTAATATTTTACAGCCAGTTTGGGGAGGCCAACAAAAATGACACAAGGCCTTCGAAGCATGTCCTGTGAGGATAGAGAGAAAGGAGTTGGCTCTTCAGTTCCAAGCAGTATTTCTCAACCTTGACAACTCTTAAAATGTATGGACTTCAACTCCCATAATTCCCAGAGAGTTATGCTGTTTGGGGAATTCTGGGAGTTGAAGTCCACACCTGTTAAAGTTGTCAAAATTGGAAACACTGATCTAGAGCAGGGCTGTCAAATTCGCAGCCCACAGGCCGCATGTGTCACACATTGGCCACGCCCACATCCGGTTTAGCAAAGGGGGGAAAAGTCACGATACATCACGTGACGGCGCCATGACAACGTCAGTTTGACACCCCTGATCTACAGCAAAGAAACTGAAGGGAAACATGATATGTTAGCCATGGCGAGTTACATAAAGGAAAGCTACCGGGAAGATAGGTAATCAGAAATAGTTTGATCTGCCCCCCCCCCCCCAAAATTAGGGTGAAAAAGCAAACCATGTGTTTCAAATTTATTAGATTTTAAAGGAAAATCTTCCCATCAATAGCATTTATACCACAGTGAATAGTGAACAATAATGAACGCTCCAGTGAGAATCCAAAGGTTATAGGTTTTCTCTCTGGGTGTTTTTTTTTAAAGATAACCATTTGTCATGGACATCAAATTGGTTTTCCAGCATATTGCACTGAGTTGGGGTAGATCAGGAGTCACCAACCTTTTGGACCTCAGGGATCACTAAACTCATAATTTTAATTCCCCTGGACCAGAGACCCTGGGAAAATCCCCCCAAAAGTCTGCAGGAAAATTCCCCATCCTGTTTTCCTACTAATCAATCATTCTTTATTTGGGATTGCAAGATACCGTCTTCAGCTCCATTCTCAGGGGGAGAGAGAGTGAGAGAAAGAGACTTTTGGCTTCATGCAAGGAAAGCAGCAGAAGCAGCAGAAATCTTTCTTTTTCTCCCCCAAACTCTGCCAGAAATGAGTCTTTGTGAGACTTGCCACACCGGTGCAGCTTCTTGGAGCAGGATGCCTTGCAGGGTCCCAAAGACTCATTTCTGGCGGACTTTTGGAGGAGAGAAAGAAAGACTTTCACTGCTTTGCTTGCGTGTAGCCAAAAGCAGAAGAAGAAGCGGAAAGAAGCAGACTGGTGGCCAGGCCAGGCCCATGGGGAGAGTGGGGCAAGTTCCCCCCCTCCGCCCTTTCCCCCCTCCCCTCACTACCTCGTGTTGTCTGCAGTGCAAGCAATGCAAGCCTTGTATTCCCATGGGCCATGTGGTCGGCGCAGCCTTGTGTTTCTGCGCAGCCTGGATTAATTGCTTTGGGGATGACATTTCTCTGCGGACCACCAAAATTTTCTCCTGGACCACCAATGGTTCCCGGCCCACTGCTTGGCAACCACTGGACTAGATGACTATTGTTGTCCTTTCCAGTTCAATGCAAGTACCTGACAAGCACTATAGCCACCACCCCCGCAAGTGCAGTCCGTACCTTATTCTTGACCATCTCTATCCCAATCATCAGTCCTTTACCACGAACATCTCCAACACTTTCAAACATATCCCGCAGCTTTGCAAACTCTAAGAGCAAGTAAGTTCCGATCTCTTGGCAATTTTTCTGCAAGCCATCTTCTTCTATTGCCTGGATACACAAAAACCATAGAAGGAAACCATCAAGCATTGCCAGTACATTTAATTCTAAAAGGGGCCTTAAAAATTAGACAGAAAAAAAACTTTGATAAGATCATAGCCAGGCAAAAAAGATTAAAATATCAAATCAACTTCATTACATGGAAAACTATTGAAGTTCATTTGATTTAATACAATACAAGTAGTCCTTAACTTACAACAGTTCATTTAGTGACCATTCAAAGTTACAACAGCACTGAAAAAAGTGACTTATAACAGTTTTTCACAGTTATAACCTTTGTAGCAACCCCATGATCCTGTGATCAAAATTCAGACGCTTGGCAACTGGTTCATACTATGACCGTTGCACTGTCTCCAAGTCATGTGATCACTTTTTGCAACCTTCTAACAAGCAAAGTCAATGGGGAAAATCAGATTCACTTAACAACCAGGTTATTAACTTATCAACTGCAGCGATTCACTTAACAACGGTGGCAAGAGATGGGGCAAAATTCACTTAACAAATTCTCACTTATCAACAAAAATTTTGAGCTCAATTGTGGTCGTAAGTTGAGGACTACCTGTATTGAGGGGCTTTGGGTGGAAGGGGATCCACCATTAAAATAGGGGTACAACTGAGGCGAAGTCCGGCCTCAATATATTTTCAAATTTTTTCAGTGTTCAATTACTGCATCCAAATTTATTGCATGCAATGTTTGTGCCCCACATTAAAAGAGGGGTAGAGCTTCAACCACCCAAAGTACTGGCCCCAATATTTTGCAAATATCTCTGGCAATATGGAGAATATGTAACTTTCTTGCTGTCAAGTGTAGTAGAAATTATACATATATATATATATATATATTTCTGCTGTTCCACTGTGTTCAATTCTTGGAAACTGGACAAATCCCTGCAAAAGTGGTTTGCCTTCATCTCCTTTCCAGGCAGTGGTGGGATTCAAAACTTTTTACTACTGGTTCTGTGGGTGTGGCTTGGTGGGCGTGGCTTGGTGGGCATGGCAAGGGAAAGTTACTGCAAAATCCCATTCCTTCCCCACTCCACTAACCTGCTTTCCAGCTCCGTTCTCCTGTGCAGGGCAACAAAAGAAGACCCAGCCGTTCAGCTGGGACTGGGGAGGCAGAGAATAGATGGGGGTGGGGCCAGTCAGAGGTGGTATTTGCCGGTTCTCCAAACTACTCAAACTTTCCACTACCAGTTCTCCAGAACTGGTCAGAACCGACTGAACACCACTTCTGTTCCCAGGCTGAGAGAAAGAGGTCACCCAATTGGCTTCATGCCCAAGGTGATACTAGAACTCACCATCTCCCAGTTTCTGGCCTGATGCCTTAATCATCACATCAAACTGACTCTCTACATATACAGAACATCCCATTAATTTCACTGGAATTTGCAATAGATGAATAGTCTGCATTAATCTATCTCTATGGAATCCACAGTGTTAGTGCTTATCGCATGAATGGAACCCTTCAGCCTGCCTTTGCTTTCCCTGCATTTAAGCAGAGAAGGAAGTTATGTTTGAAAAACATAAAAGATTCCAGATCGTTTTGCTAGAAATGAATTAAGAATCTCTAGCCAAGTTGATTAAACCTGCATGCATTAAGGCACACCAAGCCATCCTTTTGGGAGCCAAAAGTCCTTTAATTTAAGAAGGGGGGGAGGAAAGCAATTTTATCAAAGCTCATAAATAATAATATAACTAAAAACCAATGAAAACATTTTCTTACATCCACGACTGCAGATCCAACTGCACAAGCCACAGGATTGCCCCCAAAAGTGTTGAAGTGGAGGTTCTCTGTCATACTGTGTGCAATTTCTAAAACCAAAACATACTAGTCTTAACAAATGAAGCTGTAAAGTCATGCATTAAAGAGATCAGCAGCTGGAAGAAACATAAAAAGAGAGACCTTCATTTGCAATGCAGGTACTCCTTGACTTACAACCGTTTGTGACTTACAAGAGATCCTCCCATTTACAGACAGGGCAGTTTTCTCCCAATCATGTGATCAAAATTTGGGTGTTTGGCAACTGGCATGCATTTACTGGTATTGTAAATGTTGAGATGCATACTAATGATCAGATGCACGTTAACGATCAGACATGTGGCCATGTTGCGGAATCAGATGAGGAGGGGAGGAATGGAAGTCGGGGCCAGCATCAAGGCAACTGGAGAGCTCCACGGGGAAAAGGGAATGGGGTTGCCAGAGACAGAGGCGGAGCCTGGGCTGTCCGTCAGCCCTAAGATGGAGAGTCAACAGCCCCCAGGTCTGAAGGTGGCTGATGAGGAAGAGGAGCAGCAGCTGGGTCCAGTGCCTGACAAGCGATGCACAAAAGCCAGAGAAGGGAAGAGCAGTGGAAATCTGTAGGCAGAGGAT